ATGTCAAACAACATGAAGATGATGGTGGCGGAGTTAAATCAACTCCCACTTTTGCCACCGGGCTCTAAAGCCCTCCCACTAACCATTCCGAGCGAGAAGCCGCTACCATCTGTTTTGCAGGCACCGGAGGTGGAATTAAAACCACTTCCTGAAAATTTGAAGCATGTGTTCTTGGGCGAAAATCACACTCTACCGGTGATTATCTCAAACTCCCTAGCCCAAGAACAAGAGGAAAGATTGATTGCGGTCCTCAAGGAGTACAAATGGGCCATTGGATGGTCTATTGCCGACATCAAAGGCATTAGTCCATCCACATGCATGCACCGGATCCTACTTGAAGATGAGGCCAAGGCGGTGAGGCAACCGCAAAGAAGATTGAACCCACCCATGATGGAGGTGGTGAAAAAGGAGGTGATCAAACTACTTCAAATGGGAATCATTTTTCCCATCTCCGATAGCAAATGGGTGAGTCCAACCCAAGTGGTGCCAAAGAAGACCGGAGTGACGGTCATTGAGAACAAAGAAGGCGAGATGGTACCCACCCGAATTCAAAACGGGTGGCGAGTTTGCATTGACTACCGAAGGCTCAATTCGGTAACTAGAAAAGACTTCTTTCCATTGCCCTTCATTGATCAAATGCTAGAGAGGCTAGCGGGGCACAAGTTCTATTGTTTTCTCGATGGTTACTCCGGGTATTTCCAAATACCAATAGCCCCGGAGGACCAAGAGAAAACAACCTTCACATGTCCATTTGGCACTTTTGCCTATCGACGAATGCCCTTTGGATTATGCAACGCACCGGGTACCTTTCAAAGATGTATGATGAGCATCTTCTCCGAATTTGTGGAGGTATTTATGGAGGTATTTATGGATGATTTCACAATCCATGGGGACTCTTTTGACACTTGCCTCTATCATCTCACTCTTGTGCTCAAAAGTTGCATTGAATCCAACCTTGTTCTCAATTCTGAAAAATGCCACTTTATGGTGGAACAAGGGATTGTTCTTGGGCATGTGATCTCCTCAAAGGGCATTGAAGTGGACAAGGCAAAAATTGATGTCATCCAAACACTCCCGTACCCAACAAATGTACGGGACATCCGCTCCTTCCTTGGTCACGCCGGTTTCTATAGGAGATTCATCAAAGACTTCTCAAAAATTTCATCTCCTCTATGCAAACTTTTGCAAAAGGAGGTTGAATTTGATCTCAATGATGAATGCAAAGAGGCCTTTGACACTTTGAAAGCAAGATTGGTGACTGCCCCAATCATACAAGCTCCCGATTGGTCTCTTCCTTTTGAGATCATGTGCGACGCAAGTGACTATGCGGTGGGGGCTGTTTTAGGCCAAAAGAACGGGAGGGCTGCTCATGTCATCTACTATGCCTCATCAACCCTCAATGAAGCCCAAAAGAACTACTCCACCACCGAGAAGGAAATGCTAGCGGTGGTCTTTGCTTTGGAGAAGTTTCGTTCCTATCTTCTTGGAACGAAAGTTATTGTGTACACCGACCACGCCGCTCTTAGATTCCTTATGACAAAGAAGGAAGCCAAACCAAGACTCATTCGATGGGTCCTTCTATTGAGTGAGTTTGACATAGAAATCAAAGACAAGAAAGGAGCGGAGAACTTGGTGGCCGATCACTTAAGCCGCTTGGTTCCAAACAAAGAAATCGAAAGTCTCCATACCAATCTCATAAAAGGCGAATTTCCAGACGAGACTCTCTTCTCCATCAAAGTCATACAACCATGGTACGCAAACATTGTAAACTTTCTTGTTTCCGGCAAATTTCCCCCACAATTCTCAAAATCTCAAAAAGAAAAATTAAAAATGGACTCAAGACTCTATGTGTGGGATGACCCATATTTGTGGAAGCATTGTAAGGATCAAATAATCCGAAGATGTGTCCCTGAATATGAGATAGCTCACATTATAGAATTTTGCCATTCTTATGCTTGTGGGGGGCATTTCGGCCCGAAACGGACGGCAATGAAGATACTTGAAAGTGGCTTTTGGTGGCCAAGTCTTTTCCGGGATGCACATGGCTTTTGTCAATCTTGTGACAATTGTCAAAGAGCGGGCAACATTTCAAGAAGAAATGAGATGCCACAAAACCCCATGCTTTTCTGTGAAATTTTCGATGCATGGGGTATTGACTTCATGGGACCTTTCCCGAACTCTCAAGGTAACATCTACATTCTCCTTGCGGTGGATTACGTCTCTAAATGGGTGGAAGCTAAAGCCACCAAAACTGATGATGCCAAAGTGGTGGCTAGCTTCCTAAAATCACACATATTTTCTAGGTTTGGGGTTCCTCGAATTTTAATAAGCGATCGAGGCACACATTTTTGTAATAAAATTGTGGGATCCCTACTAAAGAAATATGGTGTGACTCACAAGATCTCCACTGCTTACCACCCTCAAACCAATGGCCAAGCGGAAACCTCAAATAGGGAGTTGAAGTCTATACTCCAGAAAACAGTAAACCCAAATCGGAAGGATTGGAGTATACGCATTGATGATGCACTATGGGCATACCGAACCGCCTACAAAACTCCAATCGGTATGTCCCCTTATAGACTTGTGTTTGGGAAAGCTTGTCATCTTCCCGTAGAACTCGAACACAAGTCGTATTGGGCGGTAAAAGAATTCAACCTCAATCTTGACGAGTCCGGTTTGCATAGGAAACTCCAATTGCAAGAATTGGAAGAACTCCGTTTGGATTCTTATGACAACGCGGAGATCTACAAAAGAAAGACGAAGGCTTGGCATGATAAGATGATCATAAGGAAGGACTTTAAACTCGATGACAAAGTCCTCCTTTTTCAATCACGCCTTCGTCTATTTCCAGGAAAGCTGAGATCTCGTTGGACGGGACCATACAAAGTGGTCAAAATATATCCACACGGGGCGGTGGAAATTGAAGACATGGGGACGGGAGAAGTACTCAAGGTGAATGGACAAAGATTAAAACCCTTCTTTGAGGGTTTTCAACCCAAAAATGTGGAAGTCATGGACCTTTCTGAACCGGTCTATGAGTGAAGAATAACGAAGATATCGTCAAGCCACGACGTTAAATAAAGCGCTTCTTGGGAGGCAACCCATGCAAGGTTTGTTTTCTTTTCAATTTTTTTTTTTTCGAATGTCAACTTTTGGGGAGAATGGGAGGAAATTCTCAAAAAGAAAATGAGGGAAAAATAATATTTTCGAGGCACGGGGAAACCCCCGATCGGTCATCATCAGTTACCCGATCGGATCCATGCCGAAAAGAGGATTAAAATGGACCGAACAAGAATTCCAGGCTAATGTACCCGATCGAGTAACAGTCCTACTCGGTCGAGTATAGAGTAAAAAGGGGAAGAAGGGGGATCGAGTACCCCATACTCGATCGGTCAAAAGAAAAAAAAATGATCGAATACTCGATCGGGTATACCTCATACTCGATCGGGTAATCGACCCCTGGAGCCAAATTTAAAAATCCGCCAAATACCCGATCGAGTAAATTAATATACTCGATCGAGTATATTTCAAGAAAATCCTACGGCGGCCAAAATTCGATCGAGTATACCCCATACTCGACCGAATACACAAACCTGGAACCAAGTTTTTTTTAAAAAGGGGTATACCCGATCGAGTAAATTAATATACTCGATCGAGTATATTTCCAGAAAAACCTACGGCGGCCAAAACTCGATCGAGTACGGGGTATACTCGATCGAGCCCGATCCCGGAACAAGAACAAAAGAATCCATACCCGATCGAGTAATCGGGGTACCCGATCGGGTACACGAGTTTTAAAGACATTTTTGAGCCGAAATCAGTTCATCTTCTCCAAAGCTCTTGCCCCAAATTCGAACTCTCTCTCTAAAAACTCCATTTTCAAACCTTATTTCTCCAATAACTCAACCAAAACTCAACCAAATTCCATCAAATCACCACCAAAACACTCCCCTCACTCCCCTCTACAACCTCATACCAATCAATCTCACCCTCTCTCCCTATTCCCAAAACTCCGAAACCCTACCCCCAAATCCCAAGTCCGAACCTATACTCAAGATTTACTCAAAAATGGCACCAAAGAGAAACCAACCGGAGGGCTCTAACTCAAGGGGACCTATTCGAGGCTACGAGGATGTTCAATTTGGCCCGGGGGATCATCGGAAGTGATTTGTGACCGCTCTCAAAAGGCAAGTTATCCCATCTCGGTTCTTATGCCATGACGCTCTTACTTCTCTTGGCTTGTTAGATGGTATGAGAGAACTATTTGATGAATTGCATATGGGCTTGATTTTTAACTTGCAATATAATTGTAATGAAAGAATCATTTATGAATTTTTGAGCTCGGCCAAATTTGCATTGGATGAAAATCATTTTTATGATGACACTATCACGTTTCGGTTGATGAACACCGAATACACTATAACGAGACGTGATTTTGCCGAACACTTTGGGCTCCGATTCCCACATGAAAGGGAGATTCCGGACAACACCATGGATGCTTATAATCTTTGGGGTAAAATGACCGGAGAACGGAATTTTAGCACGTCTCAACTATACATTAGTCACGTGCAACATCCCCTTCTCCGGATTTTCCTCAAATTTTTGTGCAACTCTTTGCTCGGCCGACCCAACAACCATCACACTCGGATAGGGGATGTAGCCATTCTCACCCTTGCTCTTTTCCGCAATCCCGTTGAGTTCAACATTTGCAACTTGATTTGGGATCATCTACAGAAGGCTATCACCAAAGGGGGAAACATTGTTGTAGGGGGTGTTATCATGCATTTGGCTTCCAAATTTGGCTATGTGGACAATACCACAATCTCTAGAGATTCATTGATGCATCTTGGATGGTTGTCCAATGCACAATTAATCTCTTTGGGTAACAAAGACCACAACGGAAACCAAAAATATAAATGGCATATGAAGTACCCCGAACCGGTCAAATACTTCCCCCTCCCTTGCGATGAGTTACCTAGACTTAGGTATAAGATGGAGCCCGCCCACATCCCACATTACCTCCTCCCCAACAACATTCCACCTCATCTCCAAGCTCAAGCCGACCAAGCCGAACAACCCAATCCCCAACCGGAGCAACCCGAGCACCAAGAGGGATATGAACATGTCCAACATGATATCCCCGACCTCCCCCAAAACCCGCCACCACAAGACTTCTTCCAACAACTCTTGGCGGGTCAACAATCCCTCCTAACCGGTTTCCAAACAATGAGCCTTGATTACACAAAAATGGGAGAGCAATTCACCCAACTTCAAGGGGAGATAGGCCACTACCGGAACGAGCAACAAGAAAGAGACCGGCGGTTTGATGCATACCGGGAGGAGCAACGGTTGGCTTTTCAAAGGTTGGAGGAACAACGGGCGGCCGACTTGCAACGATACGAGGAAGACTACCGGAGGATGTATGGGCCGACATATTCTTACATGTCCCAACTCGGCGGGTTTGCATCTATGGCCTCACCTCCACCGGCACCTTCTTGGTACAACCCCTCCGTTTGGGGTAATTTTGGCGGCTCGAGTTCCGGCGGTGGTGGTTATGATGGCGGGGACACTACCATGGGCGAGGGAGGAGGTGATGACATGCATGGGAGCGGCTTTGGCGGAGGCTACTATGGTGGAGAAGGCGGCCACTAAGGATAGTGCCATGATTCAAGTGTGGGGGAGGAAGATCATCTTTTGGTATGTACACTCCTTTGTTTTTTACCTTGTACTACGCATTACTTTTCTTGTTTTAGTTATACACACAAAAAAAAAAAAAAAAAAAATAATAATAATAAAAGAAATGAAATGCTAGTTAGGTTGAAAACCCAAAAGGGCAATCTAAGCAACAAGGGCTTACAAAAATGATGAGTGAGGGGTAAGGAAAGAAAAAAGCAAAGAGATGCTAGGATGAAAACCTGAAAAGGCTCCTAGGCAAAATGAGAGATATGAGAGAAAAATTTGTTTTTGCAGGACACTATCTCTTGGAGAGGCAGAAGAAGAACAAAAGAAGAAGAAGAGAAAAAGAAGTAAGGAGCATAGAAGACCATTAAACCCAAAGAGATGTTATTTTGTAAACTCATTTACAATTCTTGGTGGTTTTAGTTCCTTATTTCTTCCAGATTTTGAACTCATGATCTTTTGACAAACACTTTGTAAACATTTGGTTTTACTCGAGGTCGAGTAAAGGAACTAAGTGTGGGGGAGTTGACATTCATGTTATTTCCATGTTTATATTTGTGCTTTTGATTAGTTTTGAGTGATTGTTACTCTAGAAATTACACACTTTTGGTGTAATTGTTTAGTTTGTAAAATGTTTGTAAATTATTTAGATTAGGTTGGTTCTGAGCTCAAACAGGTCCAAGACCACTCTAGGGACCATTGGTAAACATCACAAATGGAAGGCAGGTGCAAAGATTTCAAGAAAAGATGAAGATTCTGATTTTTGGTAGTGTACCCGGTCGAGTATGCTCTATACCCGATCGGGTAAGTGGCTGAAAAGTCAAATCGAATCAACCCGGGAACAAGGCAACATGCAGGAAGATTTTTAACTCGATCGCGTATCTATACCCGATCGGGTAGCCGACATACCCGATCGGGTATGACCCCAGATTTTCAGTTTCGAGGAAACTAACCCTTACCCGATCGGTTGAGCTGAAAACCCGATCGGGTACACGACCCTGCAAGCCTAAAAAGCCTATAAATACACCCCATTTCCTCCACAAGAAAGACACCAATTCCTATACACTCTTAAGCTCAGTTTAGAATAGCATTTCTTTATATTTCTTTTAGCATGTTTAGTCTCCAAATGAGGAGCTAAACTTCCATTTCTTGGTATTGCTCTTGAAGCTTGTTGATTATTAAAGTTGTGAGTTATTTTCTTAACTTCTTTTCCTTGAATATTAATTCTTCCTTTAAATACTATTTCTATATCAATGTTGGGGAGTGTTACTAAGATGACAATTAGTTAACATCTTGACATTGGTTTTAGTAATAGCTATTCCTTCCTCTATGTTAATATCGGGGAGTGTTACTAAGATGACAATTAGTTAACATCTTGATATTTAACTATAGTAGGATTCATTCCCTTTAATATTCTTCCTTGAGTATTAATTAATTCCTATTCATATTTCATATTAATATTTTGAACATTACTTAAAGGATCAACTAGTTTTGTTTCATATATTAATTACTACTAGATACGATCAACGAACCAATGGTAATCGTTGATAGTTTCACAAGTAAGTAACTTCGGTTTATTAATGCACGGTCGTGGTTAATAGACTTAAGAGGGATTAATTTTGTTGGTTAAACCGAAACCGTTGTGTTAAGGTTATCAATCTCAATTGATTTCATCAAGGAGTTAAAAGATTAAATGCTACTATCAAGTCAGTATACGGCGTTGTTCTATACTTGACTAATAGTAAGGGTTATTAATGAACGGTCGTTGTTAATAACTATCCTCGATGAATTGGATATACTCCTCGATTGAGTATTCGAGAGGAGATAAGTTATAGATATAACAATGATCGACTAAAATATATCAACAAGTGGAAAGTAGCAATACCAAGTCAATTTTATCTTTGAATTAAATCCCATATAAATCGTTCATCTTCGTGTTTAAATTTAATTAAATCACTCAACAATCAAAACCCCCCCTTTACTTACTATTTATATAAAAAGAAAATTATTCCTTTCCCTGTGGATACGAACTCTACTTCACCTATACTACGTATAAGTGTTGTATTGAAATTACTTTGAGTGCACTCACGACAAGTGCACGTCACTTAGACAAAATCAAATAAGGACGAAACTTGTCAAGAGCAAACACAACAGCAAGCAATTCTTTCTCGGTGGTAGTGTAGTTTTCTTGGGCACTATCGAGAGTCTTTGAAGCATAAGAAATAGGCTGAAAATGTTTCTCTCGACGCTGCCCAAGAACGGCTCCTACTGCAAAATCACTAGCATCACACATAATCTCAAAAGGCAAAGACCAGTCAGGAGCTACTACCACCGGTGCCTTGACCAGTTTCTCCTTCAAACACTCAAAAGCCTCTAAACATTCCTTTGAGAAGTCAAACGGTGTATCCTTCTCAAGGAGCTTAGTCATAGGTCGGGCTATCTTAGAAAAGTCCTGGATGAACCTACGGTAAAAACCTGCGTGGCCTAGAAAACTCCTAATGGCACGGACCGAAGTAGGGGGAGGTAGTTTAGAAATCACATCAACTTTAGCCGGATCAACCTCAATCCCCCTACTTGAAATCTTATGCCCTAGGACCACTCCCTCACTAACCATGAAGTGGCACTTCTCCCAGTTAAGTACCAAATTCACCTCTCGACACCTAACCAGGACTTTCTTCAAATTCTCTAAGCACTCATCAAAAGTATCACCATACACCGAAAAATCATCCATAAAAACCTCCATAAACTTCCCAATGAAATCCCCAAAAATAGCAAGCATGCATCTCATAAAAGTAGCAGGGGCATTACATAATCCAAACGCCATCCTCCGATAAGCAAAGGTACCGAATGGACATGTAAAAGTGGTCTTATCCTGGTCCTCGGGGGCTATGGGGATCTGGAAGTATCCCGACATCCCATCAAGGAAACAGTAAAACTTATGCCCTGCTAGCCTCTCTAAAATCTGATCAATGAAGGGGAGGGGGAAGTGGTCCTTCCGGGTGGCGGCATTCAACCTTCGGTAATCAATGCAAACCCGCCATCCGGTGACCGTACGTGTAGCAATCAACTCATCTTTCTCATTCCTAACCACAGTCATCCCCCCTTTCTTGGGAACCACCTGGGTCGGGCTGACCCAAGGGCTGTCTGAAATCGGATAAATAATCCCTACATCTAACAGACGGATGACTTCCTCCCTGACCACCTCCTGCATATTAGGATTCAATCTCCTTTGTGGCTGCACTACCGGTTTAGCATTATCTTCCATCAAAATTTTATGAGTGCAGAAAACGGGACTGATTCCTTTCATGTCAGGAAGTTTCCGGGCTAGAGCTTCCCTTTGTTCACAAAGTAAGTCAAGACATGCAGATTTTTGGGATGGCTCAAGCCCGGATGCAAGAATAACAGGGAGGTCAGGACTATCATCTAGAAACGCATACTCAAGGTGGGAGGGAAGAGGCTTTAGATTTGATGGAGAAGGAGTAACAATAGAAGAATCAGTCTGACAGTCTTCCTTCTCCACCTTATCTAAGTCATCTTCCTTCCCCTTCACATCCCTAGCATCACTTGAGTCCTCCTCCCCATCAAGCATAAGACAATCAAAACTAGGGAGGAGCTCAAGATCCTCTGCTGACAAACTATCATCCAAAAGAAGATCAAAGAAGGCTTCATCAGAAAGCATGTTAGGAATGCAATCCTCCACCAAAGAATCAACCACATCCATGTAAAAACACTCGCCACTATCTTGACAGGGCCTCTTCATTATTTTGGACATGTCAAAGGTAGCAGACTCATCCCCAACACGGAGGACAAGCTTACCGTCTCCAACATCAATAAGTGCACGGGCAGTTGCCAAGAATGGTCTGCCCAAAATCAATGGTACTTCCCGATCCTGATCCATGTCCAAAATAACAAAGTCCACCGGAAAAATAAATTTGTCTACTTTAACCAACACGTCTTCAATAATCCCTTGGGGATATTTGACTGAACGATCAGCCAACTGAATGCACATACGTGTAGGTTTAAGTGGACCGAGTGCAAGCTTTTCATATAAAGCAAGAGGCATCAGATTAATGCTTGCACCCAAATCAGCCAGGGCCCTATCAAAAGTAAGATCTCCTATAAAGCAGGGAATAGTAAAAGAACCTGGATCCTTAAGCTTCTTCGGCAGATCTGTCCGTATCACAGCTGAGCACTCCTCATTAAGCGTCACAGTAGACGTTTCTTCCAGCCTCCTCTTGTTCGTGAGCAAATCCTTCATAAACTTCGCGTACTTCGGCATCTGAGCTAGTGCATCCACGAATGGTAAGTTAATCTGCACTTGTTTCATGAGATGCAGAAACTTACCAAACTGGTCACTATCGTTCTTCCTAGTCAATCGCGCCGGATAGGGGAGAGGTGGGGTGTAATTCTTGACCGGAACGGACTGTTTTGGTGCAGCCGCCACCTCTCTTCCCTCATCTTTCTCCTTCTCTTCCTCCCGGACAGCCGGTTCAACTTGAACTTCATCGGGCTTCTTTGTTGTAGCAGCGGGTTCCAGCTCTCGTCCACTCCTCAAGGTGACTGCCTGAACATGTTCTCTCGGGTTTGGTTCAGTATTACTAGGGAGGGATCCCTGAGGCCTCTCAGATAAAGCCTTTGAGATCTGCCCCATGTGAGTCTCCATGCTCTGCATCCTTGCCTCAAACATTTGCATCCTTGAGTCTGCCTTCAGCTGATTTTGTGCTAATTTGTTGAGCACTTCTTCCAAGCTAGAAAATTTTTGCTCGGTCTCCCTTCGGAAGCTTCCTTGCGCCGGTTGAGGAGCTTGTTGTTGAACTTGAGGTACCTGGGGCTGATTATAATTTCTAGACTGCTGCTGATTTCCTTGCCCGTATTGCCCTTGCTGCTGCTGTCCGTAGGGCTGATTGTAGTAGCCCTGACGCTGATAATACATCGCATCCACTTGCTCTACTCCAGGGGCTGTCGAGTGTGCCATCATTGTGCATTCATGTGGCGAATGGAGTCCCCCACACATAGTACAAGAGGGACTAATAGGAACGGGGGCTACCATATTCACACTGGGCACCGAGAGAGCAAGTTCCGTCTTCTTTTGATTATCTTCCACTGTAGTAGCAAGCTTCTGAATCAAACTGGTCAAAGCATCTACCCTTGCAGAAAGGGCCGAATTCTCACTGATCTCGTACAATCCCGGGGCCTTCTGGTGAGGTGTGTCCCGAGAACTGTACCATGAAGCATTATTAGTCACAATCTTCTCCACTAATTCTTCCGCAACCTCAGATGGCAACTGAGGAAAAGCTCCACCTCCCGAAGCATCAAGCATCATCTTTCCTTCATTGTTGAGTCCACTATAGAAACAAGATAGAACCTCACAATCAGTCATCTTGCCTTGAGGGCAAGCTCTTCTCAGCACCTTGAATCTCTTCCACGCCTCAGCTAATGTCTCCAATGAACCTTGCTTGAATTCCTGTAGCTGCTTCTTCAACTTTATGGCCTTTGATGTTGGGAAGTATTCTTTGATGAAGGCCTTGTGCAGCTGGTCCCAAGTCTGAATGTGGTGATGTGGATTGCTATCCAACCACCTCTGCGCGTCATCCCTCAAAGAGAAAGGGAATAGTAGCATCCGTACCTGATCATCATCTAGCCCAGGGATCTTGAAAGTCTGGCACATCCTCAGAAATTTGGTAATGTGTGCCACTGGATCTTCCGTAGGGCTCCCTCCGAACTGATTATTTAAGACCATATTGATCACCGCCGGTTTGATCTCGTATCGGGGTGCAGTAATCCCCGGTACCTGAATACTGTCATACTCTGTGATCTCGGGGGCTAGGAAGTCTGCAATGCTCTCTCCTTGATAGAGTGGATTGTCATGTGGAACATAGTTGTGGTAAGGAGGAGCTTGATATCTCGGCTGATGAACTGGTTGTGGTCTTATGGGTTGTGGACGGATGATATTTGGCTGAGGTTGGGTTTGATGAAATTGTTGATATTGGGGTTGGAAG